TCGAATGCGATGCTTCGCATTCGAGATCCGACTCTCTCTAGTGTTGAAAAATCGAGCGAGCCCTGGTTTGGATTTGGAGGGGAGACCGTCAACCAAAAACGAGTCCCGAAGGCATCTATGTATCATGTATGCATCATCTATCTATCATTACTGATCATCTCTCATCTGTTTATTGCTGTCTTCATAATAATCTATATATATAAAAAAGTTAACGTCGTCGTGAGTGGTTCAGAAACGGAAAAACTACAGGACCAAATATCACCAAATTTGGCCTTCTAACGCCTCATACCCCAAGGTATGACCAACAATCGTCAAAATTCAAATACACACCAAAACAAACTCACAAATTCAAAACAATAGTAATAATGTAACAATATATTTAGAAATAATTAAAATCTTTAGAAGTGGCAGTGATGGGTCTCTTCTACCAAACAGGAGCTTTTTTGTTGAGTTCCGGGGCCAGAGAAAAAGATGACAGAAACAGAAGAACGGCCGGCCTCAGGGGAGCGTGCTTTCTCCATCCATGTTCAACATCTACACAAATGATCAGCTACTGCCAGAAAGGACAGAGAGATTCAACTACGCTGATGATCATGCCATCACCACACAAGAAATGAGCTTTGAGATGGTTGAACAGAAGCTCTCCAAATTTGAGGTGCTCTTACTTCCTATTACAGGGAAAACCAGCTTGCACCATCAATGTTTAACATTTGCATAAGTGACCAGCCACTGCCAGAAGGGACGGAGAGTTTCATCTATGCTGATGACTTTGCCATCACTGCTCAAGGAAATCTTCTACAGAACAGGAGCTTTTTTGTTGAGTTCCGGGGCCAGAGAAGGAGATGGCGGAAACAGAAGAACGGCCTGCCTCAGGGGAGCGTGCTTGCTCCTTCCATGTTCAACATCGACACAATGGACCAGCCACTGCCAGAAGGGACGGAAAGCTTAATCTACACTGATGATCATGCCATCACCACTCAAGAAGGGAGCTTTGAAATGGTTGAACAGAAGCTCTCCAAAGCTCTTACTTCCTATTACAGGGAAAATCAGCTTGCTCCATCAATTTTTAACATAGACACAAATGACCAGCCACTGCCAGAAGGGAAGGAGAGTTTCATCTATGCTGACGATCATGCCATCACCACTCAAGGAGGGAGCTTTGAAATGGTTGAACAGAAGCTCTCTGAAGCTTAGAGGGAAAACTAACTTGCTCCATCCATGTTCAACATTGACACAAATGACCAGCCACTGCCAGAAGGGAAGGAGAGTTTCATCTATGCTGACGATCATGCCATCACCACTCAAGGAGGGAGCTTTGAAATGGTTGAACAGAAGCTCTCTGAAGCTTAGAGGGAAAACTAACTTGCTCCATCCATGTTCAACATTGACACAAATGACCAGCCACTGCCAGAAGGGAAGGAGAGTTTCATCTATGCTGACGATCATGCCATCACCACTCAAGGAGGGAGCTTTGAAATGGTTGAACAGAAGCTCTCTGAAGCTTAGAGGGAAAACTAACTTGCTCCATCCATGTTCAACATTGACACAAATGACCAGCCACTGCCAGAAGGGAAGGAGAGTTTCATCTATGCTGACGATCATGCCATCACCACTCAAGGAGGGAGCTTTGAAATGGTTGAACAGAAGCTCTCTGAAGCTTAGAGGGAAAACTAACTTGCTCCATCCATGTTCAACATTGACACAAATGACCAGCCACTGCCAGAAGGGAAGGAGAGTTTCATCTATGCTGACGATCATGCCATCACCACTCAAGGAGGGAGCTTTGAAATGTTCTATCTCTGAACAGAAGCTCTCTGAAGCTTAGAGGGAAAACTAACTTGCTCCATCAATGTTTAACATTGACACAAATGACCAGCCACTGCCAGAAGGGACAGAGAGTTTCATCTATGCTGACGATCATGCCATCACCCGCCACCATCTCCCCAAACGGGACGCGGGGTGGCTAACGTGAGCCCAAGCCCAAAAATAATACAGCATAATTAGACAAAAACCAACAGAGAAATACATCATAACATGAAATATATACAATAACAAATAACATAAACAGTACAAAATAGTGTCGTAGAATCAAACACAAAGGTACAATGCCACGTTCTTGACTTTGTTTGTGGTTTTTCTAAACATTATAACGGCTTCTGACAAAATAAATAACAATAAATCTCATCTATGGATCTATCTATCATATATGTATCATCTATCAATCACTTACTGATCATCTGCCATCTATCATTACTGATAATCTCGGTCATCTATATATATGTATCTATCCATCACTTATCATGTTATCTATCATTATATATTTATCTATCTCTATCATATATGCATCATCTATCTCTATACATATATATTATATATTATCTATCATTACCAATCTATCTATATCTATCATCTCTCTCTCATATATATATATATATATATATATATATATATATAATCATATATATATCTGTATATATCATTACTATTATCATATATATATATATCTCATCTATCTATCATATATATATATATATATATATATATAATCACATATTTATATCTGTATATCTGTCATTACTATAATCTAATATATTAATATATACATATATATATTATCATCTCTCTCATCTATTTATTTATCTCATATATATATATATATAAAATCACATATTTATATCTGTATATCTATCTTTACTATAACCATATATATATATATATATATATATATATATATAATCATGTCTCTCATCCATCATATATTACTATAATCTAATATATTAATATATTAATATATATATATATTATCATCTCTCTCATCTATCATATATATATAAAATCACATATATATCTGTATATTTATCATTACTATAATCTAATATATTCATATATTTATATTATATATATATTATATATATATAATCATCTCTCTCATCTATCATTATATATATATTTATAAAATCACATATATATCTGTATCTATCATTAGTATAATCATATATATATATATATATATATGATAAATAGATGAGAAAGAAGAGACAAAGTGTTGATTGTGATATATATATATATATATATATATATATAATCTTATTATATAGAATCATAGAATCAAATATATATCTATTACTGATTATATATATCTCACTACCAATCAACACTCTCATCTATCTAACATCTATCCTATATATATATATATCTTTACCAATCACTTCTCTCTCATCTATCTATCTATCTATCTATCTATCTATCTATCTATCTATCTATCGAATATATTGCATCTCTCTCTTACTTGTCATCTCTTTCTTGTCTATCTATCATTACTTACTCATCATCTGTCATTCATCTTTCTCTTGTCTACCTATCTATATGTATCTTGTAGAAAGAGAGATATTATACTATTATCAATACCTTTCCAAGGTATCTATCTGTCGATCTATCTATCTATCTATCTATCTATCTATCTATCTATCTATCTATCCAACTGCTGCTGATCTATCTATCTATCTATCTATCTATCTATCTATCTATCTATCTATCTATATTTATCTATCTATCCAACTGCTGATCTATCTATCTATCTATCTATCTATCTATCTATCTATCTATCTATCCATCCATGATGACTTAGGGTACTGGATTCATACTCTAGGGATAGCAAAGTCTTTACACATTACTATTATTAATATGCCCTCTGCCCATGCTCATGGGCTTCTTTCCCTAATAACAGCATTATTGATTATTGATTGCATTGATCGTATTATTATTATTCCCTTCCCTGCTCTCTGCACATGCTCAGCGGCCCCTTTTCCCAGTCATCATCATCGTCATCATCATCATCATCATCATCATCATCCCCTGCCCTCTGCCCATGCTCAGGGCCTCCCTTCCCTTATAGCATTATTGATTATTGATTATTATTATTATTATTGATTATGTATCCTCATGTTCAGGGGCTCCTTTCTCTAATAATAGCATTATTGATTATGTGCCCTCTGCCCATTCTCAGGGGCCCCTTTCACTTTCCCTAATAATAGCATTATTGATTATTGATTGTGTTGGTTGTATTATTATTATTATTATTATTATTATTATTATTATTATTATTAATTCCCTTCCCTGCCCTCTGTCCATGCTCAATGGCCCCTTTTCCCAATAATAATAATAATAATAATAATAATTATTATTATTATTATTATTATTAATATTAATAATCCCCTGCCCTATGCCCATGTTCAGGGGCCCCCTTCCCTTTCCCTAATAGCATTATTGATTATGTGCCCACTGCCCTCTTCCCGTAATAATGGCACTGGACTGGGATTGCCTGCCCTCTGCCCATGCTCAGGGGGCCCCTTCCCTTTCCCTATCAACCCATTATTGATTATATATCGATTATTGATTATGACATTGGTTATTGATTATGTGCCCCCTGCCCCTAGTAATGGCACTATTCATTGTGATTCCTCTGGAGGTGGATGGCCTGCCCTCTGCCCATGCTCAGGGGGCCCCTTCCCTTTCCCTATCAACCCATTATTGATTATATATCGATTATTGATTATGACATTGGTTATTGATTATGTGCCCCCTGCCCCTAGTAATGGCACTATTCATTGTGATTCCTCTGGAGGTGGATGGCCTGCCCTCTGCCCATGCTCAGGGGGCCCCTTCCCTTTCCCTATCAACCCATTATTGATTATATATCGATTATTGATTATGACATTGGTTATTGATTATGTGCCCCCTGCCCCTAGTAATGGCACTATTCATTGTGATTCCTCTGGAGGTGGATGGCCTGCCCTCTGCCCATGCTCAGGGGGCCCCTTCCCTTTCCCTATCAACCCATTATTGATTATATATCGATTATTGATTATGACATTGGTTATTGATTATGTGCCCCCTGCCCCTAGTAATGGCACTATTCATTGTGATTCCTCTGGAGGTGGATGGCCTGCCCTCTGCCCATGCTCAGGGGGCCCCAGGATGGGCGGGGGGGTCACACTCACTGCCGGAAGAGCCTCTCCATGTCCTTGATCTGCTTGCGGGAGAATTCCCGGAATTCGGTGTAAGGGCTGAAGACGCGGTGGGGCGAGCCCGGGATGGGGGGCGAGTCCGAGGAGGAGGAGGCCCCCGCTCCGACCCTCCTCTGCAGAGGCCCGTTGAGCCCTTCCTCCTCCTCCGAGCCCCCTCCTCCTTCCTCTTCCACCCGGAGGCGGCGGCTCAGCTTCCCCGCCAGCTCCTCCGTCGCCATCCTCTCCCTGGAAGGAAGGAAAGAAAGGAAGGAAGGATGAAGGATGGAGGGAGGAGAAGAAGGAGGGATGGAGCCACGGCC